CCGCGCCCAGGCCCCGGACAGGAGCACCCAGCGTCGCAGGTTCCCCTGCCCTCCTCTGCGGCTCCTCTGCGGCGCTTCGCTGGGTGGGCTGGGCGGCGGGGGCATAAGCCTGCGCTGCAACGCGTCCCGCTGGCTTTCCAGTTTCTTGGAGTGCTGTACCGTGTGCTCGTGTTGGTGGGAAGATAGAGGAGCAGGCTGCTTTATCTTGGCCTCGTTACTACTGCTTTTTATCTGCATGTAAAGAAACCTGGTGGAGGGTTAAGATTCCTCTTTGCAGCTTCAGGGTTCGGATCTTGCATCTTGCTTTGAAATGGGTATCGAGGTTCCCAGTAGCTGTGCTGACCGAGCAGTTTTTTTTTTTTCTTATCACTGTTTCAGCCGCAAGATGAAATCGAAGTTGAAGATGGGTTTAAACAGTACGATGGTAAGGCTTTGCTACAGCGTTATCAAAGCATACCTCAAAAACCTCGAGTATTTTGATCCTTTATGTGCACTATTTTTGTACTAGACGATACGTAATTACTGCTTAATGATAGTTGTCTGTTTTGTCTTAGTGATTAGTGCATTAGATATGGAAGCTATGATGAGTACCATCAACGCTTGGATAAAAAACCCAGTCAAGTTTGAACGTTCTCATGGGATCAACAACACGCTGGATGCCCAGATCTTGGAAGATAAGGAGGGAGGAGATGAGAGAGTCCACATTCTTATTGTTGAAGGCTTCCTACTTTACACCTACAGGTAATCAAATGTGACTTTATATATTTTGACTTTTACATGATTTTACGTGATAGGCGAGCCTCCAAGGGAATAAAGACCTGTTCTAAACCAAGAGTTAGCAGCTGGTATTGACTACTGGTGAGTTTAGGTGTCACAAATCGGAAGATAGCTCTAGATACAGGAAATGGATGTAGTTTTACCTTTCTATTTCTTGCTACTAATCAAACAGTCTAGCTGTAACCAAACATGTATCTCTTTCAGGCCACTGATTGACGTATTCCACCATCGGTACTTTCTTTCCATTCCATATGAAGAGTGTAAAAGGAGAAGGAGGTAAGTGTGTGTTTCTGAGCTCCCTTGCCAGCCCAGTAACATCTTACTCTATTCAAGACTCGGTTTCTCTAAAGCTTCTAAAGAAGAAAGGATAAACACTAGTGTAGCTGCTGTGTTAGAAGACTGTGGCTTCCTTCACCAAACCAACCCAAAAGCTTTCTACCAAACCACTGTGAGAGACAAATGCTCAATTTCAGCACAGACCTTTCAATAGGCTTTCTCCCTTTCTGGTTTTCCAATGATACGGTTCCCAGGTCTTGAACTACCCCGGGGTTTTATATTTGGCTGTATTGTTGCACACATACGTGGTTCTTAATGCAAATAAAACCTGTTAAACTTGAAATTACGTTTCAGAGGAATCAGCAGACAGCTATTTTACCCAAAGTTCTGCTAAAGCTTTAAGAGAAGGCTTAATCAATATTAAGATGAGTCCGTTTTAGGAATCCTTTTTGCATCTTGAACACACCCACACATCAAATAACAACTTTTTTGGGGGTATCTTTATGCTTGCAGCTTATGCTAAATACTGACTTTTGATAAGCTCAGAAACTACATTGGAGGCAACAGCGTCAGGCTAGTGTGTAGAGAAACTGAATGAATGATCTGTCATTTCCCTAAACTGTAATTAGACTGCACTTGAATAACAATGTCTTAATTTATAGTTCAAGGAATTACACTGTACCAGATCCACCTGGATTGTTTGATGGCCACGTTTGGCCTATGTACGTAAAGCACAGGAAGATAATGGAAGATCTTGGAGTTGATGTGGGTAAGTCTTCAATGACAAAAGCACTTTTGAAAGATTGCTTTCTGAGCGCGCTTTTCAAACCTGGGATATACACGCTGCTTAAATGCATGAGAGGAGTCGAAGCAGGTGGATGGAGTATATTTCTCTGATACCAGTCAAGTGCATGCTTTTTAAATTAGGATCTGGCAGGCTTACAGAAACATTCAATTACAGCTCTCTCATTTTACTTTCTTACTTTAAGTGCACTTGAATGGAACAAAATCAAAGGAGGAACTGTTTAACGACGTGTATGGACAGATCCAGAATAAGATTGAAGAATTACTTAACATGCAGGTACATGTTCATGCTTATAATTGCAACTCAAAGGCAGCCCTTTTAGAGGCTACATTGAAAAAGCATGAAGCTGCAACTTGAAATATGTTCATGTGTATCTTTCCGTTTAGAAATAAGCTGCTGATGATGATTCTTGTGGGTGAAGATGATTCCTGTTTGCTCTGCGCTGTCTACCTGACTGCCACTAAAGTTCCAGCTTCTGTGAAGACTCTCAACTCTTAAATCCGACTTTGCTCAATCTTCCCTTGAAACTGAGTTATATATGGTCATAATTAAAAAGCACTTCCCCCTTCCCTTGTCTGTCATCTTAATTTGTGCTTCAGCCTAGTATGTAGCCTCAAATGAGCTCAGTCTTCTCCCACTCTCCAGTCTATTTGGAATTCTTTTCACTATGTTCTTAACCTGTGAGAGTAAAAAATTATAGTGGAGCTGATGTGAAGTGGCACAACTATCCTAGGAGAGTGTGTGTGTATATATACATATTACACTGCTTTGAGTTCTTTCAATAACCTGCATGAATTTCTATAATCCATCTAATTAGGCAGGAAGTATGCTTCATGATGAAGAAATTAGGATTGATTTTGCTCTTCAAAAATGAGAGGACGAGGAGGTTTTCAGGCCATTTTACTAGCATTGAATTATTCTCCTAAATCGAGTCCATGTATTGATCTCGGATGCAGAAAATTCAGTTTAGAGTCAGGGAAAAAATTTACAGATACAACAGCTTTAAAATTATTGATTGCTCTACAAGATTTCAGTAGCGTTCTGTAGTTTTAAGGCCTTGGTTTACATAGAAGAGCAGTGAAAGAGTATATGAAGGCTTAATCCCTAGTAGGGGGAAAAGTGAATTTAGGACTTGATTGAAAAAAAAAATAATTGAAAAGCTTGATTGAAAAAAAAAAATCCATCCGCTAGGTGATTGTCCAAGAGGGAAGATGAGTATTGATCCATTGTGAGACCAGTCCTTTTTCTTCAAAAGGGTTTGACCAACACTGAGCGCAAGCAGTTACTTCAAGCCCAGATGCATGAGTTTCCTGACAGGAGCTGGTCCTCCCCAGTATCCCCTAGAAATGGAGAAAGTTGATTCATCAAGTTTTCTGTATGTACTATCAAAGTAGGGTTTGGGGGGAGTGTTTTTGCTTTACTCCCACAAGATACCATACTTGCTAAGAGTGAGCGTGAGAGGTTTGGTTTAAAGAATCATCTTTGGGCAAGGGGTGCCCTTCTGTGCAATTCAACCCTATTTTGCTTGAATAAACCCCTGTTACTAGCAAAGTGCCCAGAATCCTCAGAAAGTTGAGGTCTTTGTCATGACTAAGGATGCACTTAGTTCCTTAGTAGAACAGAAGGAAACAAAGCCAGAACAGGTATCTGTACCTGGCTTTTTTCTGAATGATCACAGCAGCTCTGCATGCTTGGAATTGAAATACTTACTTAAGCAGTGCATTCCAATAGAGAAGAGGCATCATATCTGCTTTCATATGGTACATGGTTACTCTCTCCTTACTCTGGTCAATGGGAAAGGTCTCCAAAGGCTGAGCGTTGTAGTCAAATTCGGCTAGAATCACCTTGTTGTAGCCTGTTACTAGCGGGCAGGAAGTATATCCATCATACTGCAATGAAGAATACCCCTTTTCATTAATCTGAGCAAAGTCTAAATGCTGAGGTATTACAAGCCATATTGTTAATATTCATATTGCAAAATAAGTTACTAGGAGGTTTCTGCATTTATAGTGTTAATACCAGCAAGTTTGGAAGGCTGCTAACCCAATTTTGGTTTAATAACTATAATACTAAGCCATTTTATTTCAAATGTAGATTGTAGATTTGCTTAACAACATTGCTTAAATTAGAACTAACCTAGAACAATAGGGTTTTGTGTCATTAATTGCTGGTTATTATTGTAACTAGCAGAATAGGTGACCAGGAGATCGGGATGAGAGCTGGTGCTAGCTTCACCAGACAGTATATAAACAGGATCTTGAATATAGTTGTAAGAATTTCCAGAGGATTGCGGGAGTATGGATGATGATATTCAGGTTAGTACCCCAAGGAATATTCAGAAGCCACAAGTAAAATGAAAGCCAAGTCTCAAAGAGAAATTTGAACATAGTTATAGGCTGAACATCTTCCATAGTGCAAACCCTTCAATTGCACCCCTTAAAAGATCATGTTCTGTACAGGGGAGGCAAGTTTAACATAGTACAGATGTGTAAAGTTTGCAAGGGTTTTCTTGGAGTAGGGATTATGGTAGTCAACAGTTTGACTCCAAATAAGTCACCTGCATTGGTGAAGAACCCAGACTAATCAGCCTTTCAACTCGGAAGTCAAGGAATTAAATAGACAGTATTTTTAACGCCAGTATCAAGAATATGAATTGTGCAACTAAATGACTGTTTTGATATACAGTATTTAGCCATTTAGCACCCCAGCCGCTGATCAAAGCCCTTCCTGCCTTCTGGTTCACATGGGTTAGCTGCTTGCAAGACTTCCTGCATAAAATGGAGAAAACATTCAAGATAACTTCTCCCTAAGACGAGATCTGTAGGTACCTTTTTACTTGGCAACTGGTTCTTCATTACCAGGGAAATAGTTTTATCAAGCACTCCAGACTGGGCAGCTACATAAGAAGAAAAAAAAGTGTATTAAGGCTTTGTTTCAGGCAGCAATTATTGTCATTACTACAGCAAACACTACTAGCTGGCGCTTTGTTGGACAGTTGAGCTGTAATTGAACTTAATGTCAAATCAGTTTGGGAAGCTTACAGTCCCAGATAAGAAAGAAAAAAATATTTGGACTAATACTTTGGCCTTACTGTTTCCAACACGCTAAAGCTTTATGAAACTTGAGCTGTATGGTTTTAAGCCATGCCCGTTCTCCTATGCTACGTTACACCTGTTCAGTCTTCCCGAACACTGAGATTCTGACACGCTGAAGTTTTCTTTCATTTTGAGTTCTGTAAGGGAAGTATTCTAGACCCATTTACTGGAATAGCTGACTACACCATTCTTCACATTACACCAATAACATGCTGTATAGCCTTTCTTCCCCCTCCACCTTATTTGCATCTTTTTTTTAGTTGTGAGACCATATGCCTAAAGTGGTTTTGTAGTGGACCCTGTGGCTACCAGTACAAAACACGTGATTCTTCAATAGTGACTTATCAGTTTGCTAACACATACGCATGAGCTGCTAAGATAGAGCAGAAAGTTTTGTTACTGAATGATGACGGAATGCAAGAGTAGTATACTCGTTTTATGCCATTCTGTGAACACAGAAAACAGAGTTAGTTCATCTGTGAGGCATTTGGAACAAGAGAACTGTGGGTTAATGGCATCAGCATGGTCTGTAGCTAATTAGTTGGCCCAGGAGACTTGAGTCTTTTTGAAGGCTGGAAATAATTGAAGTCAAGACCTCAGGAGCAACAAACTAAACAAAAAGCTTACTGTCACTCCCACACTTTTTGTTACACACACAGAGCTTTACCTACAGCTGCAGCAGTTTTTGATGTTGGAAGGTTGGTGCAGTCTCCAATACCAAATACATTAGGGTACTTCTTATGTTGTAGAGTTTCCTTATCTACATCCACCCAGCCAATTTCATCCGAGACAGGACTGTTGATGAGGACATCAGGTGGCCCCATTGGAGGTGTGACATGAAGCATTTCATACTAGGCAGAAAGAAGAGGCACTCAATGGCTAGTTTCTCAGAGTAAATCACACCTCTGTTGATATAAAGCAGTAAGAGCAGTGTGGACAAGGATTTTCTCGGTTTGTTTGTTTTTAAACACGAGTATATAAAATGAAAATTTGCTCTCAAATTTGAAGTGCATCCTTTTATTGACATGAACCTGATCAGGGAGCTCCACTGAGAACGGCATAACAGCAATTTGCCTTCCTCCATATACAGCTGAGACATTCCCAAGTTACACTAACAAGGCATACAGGACTCCAGGCATAGTTTGTGAAATATTTTTTTTCTTCTCTCCACTTTAGTTTCAAACTTTTTAATCTTCTCCTAAAGTTAGAGATGGTACTCTCAGGGGGCAACGGCAGTGTACAACGAAGCAGACGTTGTGTTGTTATAGCGTGGCAGTTAGGTTACAGTATACAAGGAAAGGAAATAGGACCAAACTATAGGTCTGAAAGCTCCTGACCTGATGAACTTCAGTCACTCCAGGTTTGTCCAAGTTCTCAAACACAGCTTCCTGCTTGTCTGCGCGAACTTCTACAAGGTTGCGCCTATAGTTAACAGCAATATTCCTCTCCTTTATTATTTCAAGCAATGCATCAGCATACTTCTTAACACCAAAAATGACACCAAGCGAAGTGTTGAACATTATGTTTGCTTTGGAACGTTTTCCTGTCTGCACAGAGAGATCAAATGAGCCTTTTTATTAAGAAACTGACAAGCTAGCAGAGACAAAAGCACTGTGCTGCAGTACTGACGGGCTGATAGAACTATTAATGCAGTTCAATTATTAATGAAGTATTAACATTAGAGCTCTCGAGATACAGCTATTTCACACCATGTTAGAAGCTAGACAAGATAATCTTTGCCCTTTCTGAGTGAGGTACTGAAGACACGCCACACAAATTGCTAGTGAGAAGAAGTGGCTGCAATTCACTGAGGAACTGCTGTATGCAGGTTAAGCACTTGTGACAGCTTAGCATTATATAGCTTTCCGAAACCTTCAGTTCTATGCATTATTCAGATACTCGCCCAGTAGATAGCTCATGAAACTTAAACACATAGGAAGCCTGACACTTCCATGTGAAGTTGTCTTTTGTTTCCACTAAGCTTGCTTTAACAGCCTGGCTAAGGCTCCTCCTGATGCCGAGACAGTGTGCCACAAGGAGCAAGCATAGCCACTTTTCAGACTAGCAGAAAGACAAATGGCAACAGGTATTAAGTACTTAAAGTAACAAGAATTACTTAATTCCAGCCAGCATTATTTTAGTGCACCACTTGAAGTTATGAATCAGGCTGAGAACAGTTGTATCTGTAGCTCACCAGAAGCAGGGTAAGAGGTTCTTTCCTTATGGATTCTGAATTCTACAAGTTTCTCCAGTACTAAATATATGCTAAAGACATACATACGATTCAGTTAGCTTCATTTATTATACATAATAATAGAAAAAGCAACTCAGTCACTTTAATTTAATAATCCTGAGTCACATTCCTCTCGTGTGGTTTTTATTTGTTTTAAAGGGAACATGAACCCCTTAGAACAAGCCTTCCTTCCAGCTGTGGGAAGAAGCACTGGCAGAGAGAGTAACATACTTACTTTCCTCCAGTAGGCCTCTGATAA